TGTGGTGCGCCCACCAACAGCGATACATATATTCACTCCGATGTTGATTGCGGCATGATGTGGGCTAGTCCCCATCTATTGCTTGCGTCTCATCAATGTCATTGCGATGGAACGACTCTACATCATGATATGATTTCATGCGTCCAAGATGAATGGATGTGTATACATTTACATATTCCGACGGCTATGACATTCCGGATATTCATGGATGGAACTATTACCTCATGGATGATTTCCTTTTCATTATGTATATATTATTCATGGTACCTGGAATGGCTATGTGTTGCATGTATTGCTCACCAAATCTTCTTTGCCGATGATATTCAGATGGCTCATGACCGTGCGCTGCTATGGATTTCTATGGCCAACCCATTTCTGTGGATGACGGCTGCGCGATGCGCAAATGCGGCAGCCGGGATTTCAAGTGGTTGCGTATTGGCTAGAGGCAAAATGTCTCTTGCATCTGAGTATAGGAATGTGCTACGATTTGTGGATGCATGTTTCTGCCTTGATTGGACCTGGCAAGTTTCACAATGAATGGACGGTGTAGCAATAGTGAATGAAAGAGTGTTCGACACAGTTTCGTAGCTGAAGCCGTGGCCATTGGAACGTTTTGTGGTGTTTGGACCGCATGATGAACAATGCGACCCAAATGGGGGATGTTAAAACCCTCCTGGCCCCGTGCCTAAATTGGGAAGCAGTTCTGAGGTCCGTGTTTGTATTGCTTACAAGGTTCCATTGATTGCCATTTGGCTCAAGTCACAAGTGAGGTTCAAGATCTTATGTGAAGCTGCGTTCATACGTGATCGGCAATTGAGAGCGGAAAACACTTCGCTTGCGCTGCATTTGTCAGGACCACTGTTGTAACTATTATTCCTTCTCTCTTACAACAGTTACACGGGTTCGGCTATAACGGTTTGACCGTATACACCTTTCTACGTGGTTGGTATTTACAGCTGGAGGGTTCGGTGGACAGCGCCCCACGGGACGTCACCTTGCCGTCTCTTGACAGCTAGAAACCCTTCTCGCCATCGTTTTTCCTCCGTTCACAGGTTAGAGCTCGGGCGAGGGCCAGGTTTGGTTGGGCCCAGATGGGCAATCTACAATTGACCGGAGAATCTCGGAGCTTCGGGAAAGCGGGGCAAAACCCCGCAGCCCTGGAACGAAAGCGGACGTCCAAACCAGGCAACACACGGCGCATGGAAGATTGAAAGCTGCAGCCGTATACCGTTGGGTGAGCTGGAGAAGGCGTTGGGGGACCTATCCAGGACTGACGCATGGTGATTATGGCAACCTACAAAACTTGGGGAGAAGTTTCGAGAAGAGTCAGGAAACTTCGGAACAGCAAGATAGAAGAAAGCTCCCTGAGAGTAATAGACCGTTCTTAAATGGACCGACTGTTTTTGGCCGGCAACAGCCATTTGGGTAACACATATTTATTTAAAGCCATGCCTGCCAATAGAATGCAGCGATGCGAGTCAAGTGCTTAAACATATGCGTGTTTTACATCATCAAGTTTATAGAGCAATTGGTGCAGTTTGCGCTGATGCGCCAGCTGAACCGACCTTTGAACACATAACTGAGCATGCACGCAGATCTGGGTGAATTATAACGACCTTACACGACTTCACCCGAAATAGTTGTTTGTGTTGGGAATAGCCCCGCCACCACCTTATGTCATGTTGGTGAAACATTTTAGTTCACCCAGACAGATAGCAAGTCAATTGTGTTGTAGTCTGTAGAGCGTGAAATTCGATGCAGCGTATAGCCTAGGATGCCAATCTCGTTTGTCTGAGGACTGCAGAATGTATGCTCTGAGCATATTGCGATAGCTCGTCATTGAGCATAGTTTGCTGGGCTCTAGTATGAACAGTCCCGAAAGCGTGAAACTAGCGTGAAAAAAGCGTTGGCTCCTACTTTGGCAGTGTCCTCAGCCAGGGTTGTTGGCACAGCAAGTTGGCGCGCTCCAACTCTGGCCGTGCAGGGCAGCTGTCTCAACTGCAGCTTCATAGCTGGTTGTGGCTCATGCCTCGACCCTCCATCACCCTGCCTTTTTGGGGGTGGTGCTGGCGTGTTTGACATTTCAGTTTTTCGGGCGGCATGTCCAGATGTTGGTGTTTTCGTTTGTTGCAACGGGCTGCTCTGTCAACCCTGGACTTCAACTCTGCTAGCGGTGTGTTGAACATCCTAAGGAAGTTAACAAGGACTTTCCTCGGGCCGTTGTTGTTCAGAGTGCAGGGCTTGCTTGAAAGATTCAAGTGCGAAGTCAAGTAGCACCGCGGACCTTGCTATCACCCAATGGAAAAGCCTGCTCAATGCCTTGGATGTTGGTAGGAATTTGACCTTGGCCCAAACTGCTTGAATAACAAGGGAAAACACTTTGGCGTGATTTGCTGGCGGGAGAATTTGAGCTTCCACCGATGTCTACTTCAGAAAAAAAGGGGGCGTAGACAAACCGTAGACAACCCGTAGACAACCCGTGGACAACCCATATAGAAAGGACGTATAAGGACGTTCTTTTCCGGAGAGCACACGTATTTTGGTGTAGAACGCACATTTTCTGGCGAAGAAAGGACATTTCCTGGCACCCCTCCGGGAGAGCAAAATTGACACGGGAATTGTTCCACGCGCCCGGCACCGTGATTTCCAACATCAGTGGCAACGAACATCATCTGCTTGTAATCTCATGTCTTACTCATTCATTCATGGTAGTCAGTCAGGAAAGGAAGTGTGTGAAAAGTAGTGCTCAGTACGCACACGCGGCCGAAAACGGCTCCAAAAGGGGTAAAAGGGCATCTTAAAATGTGCTCCGGACCCCATAAATGTGCTTTATCACAAAGGACGTGTTTTTTCTTCTTTGGAATTCGAGGCCAATGTTGCTGCTATTTGCCAACATTTGCGAACGTTGGCCTGAGAAGGAACATTGGGGTTCATAAGGCGAATGCAAAATGTTGGTTCAACAAATGCAGGTTCGACACGTTTCGTTTAAAACTTGGCTTGAAGTAGTGATGAAACCAGTTCCGCTGCAACATGTGGGCCAGGCAGGTCATGAGCAGGTGAACCTGGCGGGCCCAAGATTAGAGACCCAAGAGCCCTTCCCAAAAAACGTCCCCCGAGTTCCCGGAAACGTCCTTTGCCCAGAGCACATTTAAGAAACGTCCGAGGAAGCCTAGGGTTGGAGTGTCTGGGAACAGGCCGTAGCAGCGCGATGGGAGTGGTTCCGCAGTTTTCCACAGCGCCAGGTGCTCAAATTTGCTTTAGTCCAGAAACAACACACGAAACGTCGTCATCAAGCAATCTACAAATGCGGGTATATTCAGTTTTGATACTTTTGACATATGATCGGGTTCACATGTTGCTTCAACTGTTGTTCTCTGGCTAGTGCCACCCAGCACAACATGCACCAGTTGCCCTTAAAGTTGATGTCTTGAAGCCACAGCGCCCCCAAGACCCTCAACGTTACAGCCAAAGGGATTGTTTTGAAGCACAACCCAGCATTTTTTACGATAACAGGCAAGCTTGCAAGGCATGCTATTCTGCGAACAATAGCTTTCACTAGCAATTGAATGGTCGTTCCGTCCGAACATAGACCATTGAAAGGACGGTCGAGGACTTTCAGGGAGAAACATGTGGGTGAGTTTGTCCAATACACCAGCGTCCGGGGCGTCCGAAAACGCGTCTTGAGGCGTCCAAAAGGCGGAGTTCATGACTCGTCCGAAGCAACAAACACTCCCCGGTCTCGTCCGCCGGCTTTGAAGCTGTTGACCGCGGCTTCATGAAGGGGGGGGCCTCTGTTTAGTTCTGATGCTTGCTACCCATCTAAAGGATTGCTCGCTAGCGGCCTTTCGGCACCCAGTTGAGCGCCATCCAACCGCGACCCCAACAGAGCAGGGTCAGGCGAAGTTTGGGGATCGAGGGCGACTCACAGAAAGTTCTTCAAGCTCACGCCAGAAGGCCCTCGAGAGCGCCTGCATTTGGTCCCTTCCGCCTGGGAGCTTCGCGCGAACTGCGGCCGGCAAACGTCTCTGGATCGGTCTGGGGCTGGCTGTCCGAGAGCCTTTGCCCCGGTGTCTGGGCCCGCCTGCTGCCTCGCGGCGCACGTCTGCGGCTTACTTTTCGCCCAGGTTGAAACGGCCACAGAGACGCTCCTACACTCCCATGAGAGCATCCTTCACCCGCCCGTTCGCTCCACCGGTTGATAGCAATACTGATAGGATCGCAAAATGACTTGTCTTCTCTGGCCTCTCGCCTACACCCCGAACCAACCCTTACTATTCCTTAGCGCTTCACAACCTCGCGTCAAGCATAAGTTGGATTTCTGACTGTACGCTCGTAGGCTTTTGCAGACAGGATTTGACCGCGAGAGTCAGCGACTTGGAGTTGTGTTCAAGGGGATCAAAATCCATTTGCGAGCGAAGCGTGTCAGAGATGTGCCTGAGTTCAACTTTGTTCGTCCAGCCTTTGCCATAGCGTGGTTCCCCAATATAGATGAGTTTAAAGCCTGTTGATGCGGCAAAAAGGTGAGACGTGCCGACTTGACAAAGTGAGCCGCAAGTGCGAAAACACCGCGAACGTCGAATTGTGACTTTGTTTAAACCATACTTGCTCAACCGTTTGTTCATAAGTGCTTGACCCAACCTTGCTTTCAACTCTACAGCTCGCATGAATCTGAGGACCATATCGGAGCATTCCGCTTGAAATCGGCTGGTTCCCCACTAGGTTCGTGCACAAAACACGGACAAAATGCCCCCCCAGTATTGGGTTACGTAATTGCGTAGCTTTGGCTCCGAAGTTTAATAGGCAACCCCTAAGTAGACTGCAGAAAAAAGATGTACCGACTTATTCTAACCCTGGAGGAGCTAGCTAAAGTTATTTTCGGTTCCTTCCTGAAGTCTTCGTAGGGTGTTTGGAGTTGGATGGTTGTCTTCTGCCGGATGGCTCATTGACTCATTTTGTCAGGGGCTCCTTTGATTCCTTGACGTCCAAGCGCCAGCCTTGAGGCAGTGGCTGCGAACACGAGAAGCCCATCCGGGATTGCCGGATCTGCTCCTCCTGCGTGCACGGCAAACTCAAGCGCACCGACCCCAGAAATCTTGCGGACCGCCATGAAGAAACTCCAGCGAGGTGCCATTTTGCCAAGGGTTTTTTTTCATCGGACGCATGAATACCCGCCCTGGTTGATGTTGACCCCAGAATTTGCTTGGAGGTGCATTTTGCCAAGGGATGTTCGAACTTTAACTTTTTGCCAACTACTGGGTTTTTTCGTATTAAACCACTGAAAGTTAGTCACTTTTAGCAGGCGAGCAGAAAGCAAACGAGAAATCTCCTGGTTGATGTTGACCCCATAGGAATTTCAACCCCTGTTTGTGAAAAACTGGGGGGGGGTCCATTTTGGATGTGATACGAAGGCATGAATAAACCTTTGGTGAATTTTGCATGGATGTTAGAAAAAACATAGGCGTTGCCAACTTCAATGACCCCTAAAGTTTGTTGTCGTTTGTTAGGACTTGAACTTTTTGCCAACTACCGGGTTTTCCGTGTTAAACCGCTGAGAGTTATTCAAATTTAGCAGGGGAGCAGAAAGCAACCGAGAAATCCCCTGGTTGATGTTGACCCAAAACTCGGGGCGTGTCCATTTCAGCATAAAATGTGGTTGGAATCAGACCACTTTTGGAGCCCACACCCCCGAGTTTAATAAACTGGCGTTGATATTGTAGGGTCGACATTACGGGATGTGTCATTGATGAAAGGAATCCACGCATTGCCGCGCAGGTTCCACCCCCTCAAGTTCACCCATTTGGGTGTTGATCGAAAGGTCCTTTACATGGGATGACCATTCAAAACCACCACTAAGATGACATTTCCCGCATGGGAAAAGTTACCCATGGTCGTTTGGCAGGGAAAATTGATCAACCCCCATGTCTTTCCTTCTGGGAACCAAAACAACCTCCACCGACCCAGAGTGCCACACCCTCTTTTTTTCTCTCTTTTTTTTTTTCGCATGGCCCGGACTGAGGTCTTCGGAAGCCACTCCAATAGGAAAAACGGATGGCGGATGGCGAATCCGCCCACCGTTTTGTGTTTTTTTTTTGGCAGGGTCCATGAAGCTGAAGAATTGCACACATACCATTCCTGTGATCATGTTGTTGGTTTTCGAGTACCCCGATTCTATCTCGTTGGAATGCCCAAAAATTGCTTGGAATCCCAAACGTTTGCTCAAAAAAGATGCGTTCAATCCAAAAACCGCGAAGAATCGAAGCATCCAACTGCCTTCAATGGGACACCCCTTCCGTTCCCAACCCCCCCGAAATTGATGGCGAGTAACTCTCCCGAGGCAACTGCGCGGCGCCTCGGCCGCGGTTTTCCGTGGGGCGAGGTGTCCTTCTCACCTGAAGCGATTCGAGGAAGCACTACCTCGAGTCTTCACGCCTAGAAAAAGGGGTCATGACCCCGAATTGTTTGGGCAATGACCAACCATTTTTTGATCATGGAGAGTCTAGGTAGACCAATTCTCAGCGGGCTTCCTCTTTCGCGATTGGTTTCGTAGCTGCAAAATCACACCCGATCAGCCTGATTCGGAGCACCACCGTCATTTGAACAGACGAGTGTGGTTCCCTGTGTTGGGTGCTGGCGTGGTGGTTGCTGGCGGTGCTTGTCTTGAGATGACAACTGGTCAGGAGTGCTTGTAGGTGCTGGGTTGCTGTTTGGCGTGCTCAAGTCGTGGTTGCTAGCCCGTCTTGCTTGGCGATGGAGTCAGGGTGCTGACGGGGGTTGAAATCTGCCATGCTATCTGGGGAATGCTGGTGTTGTTTTTCTTGTTTCCAGGCACTTTCATTTTGTTTACGCTTCTGGGACAAATCCATGCAAGCGAAACGGCGACATTCCCCGGCCATGTTTCTAGCCAAAGTTGAACTGGCACTTCTGCAGTGAATGTTGTTTTTTCGACCAAAGGACAAACATGTTCTTGTTTGGGCAAACGGCGGGACACGCGCACACCTGAAAGAATATCAGATATAACACCTTACAAACCTATACACCCCCGTATGTCGACCTTCGACCCACCCGGGTCAAGCCACAATCAAGGCCCTGGGTAGATGACGGTTAGTACGGGACAATCCCAACCATGTTTAGCTGCGCCCGCCTTCTCTGTTCCTTTTGCGGGTCGACCAGTTTAATACCCGATGTTTGGTTGTGACCCCAAACGAATTGTTCAACCCCTGTTTGTGAAAAACTCGGGGAGGTCCATGTCTGGGTGAAATGTGGCTGTGGGTCAAAAATACGTACCCAAAATGAAGCCCTGGTACAAGGAAACATGGACTAAAACCTGCAGTCCATATCCTGGTGGTGTAATTTTGACCCACAGCCATGTGGCTGGAATCAGACCACTTTTGGAGCCCACGCCCCCCGAGTTTCATAAACTGGCTTTGATGAATATGGGGTCAACATTCGGGGGATGTCCCAGAACCTCAGGAAAACCCAGCGTGTTTTTCTTTTTCAACGAAAATTGGACGGGAAAATGAACGGGCTAAAAAAACATATGACTCAGGTCTGCTATCGCGTGAAGCTGCGGGAGAAGCAGAGGCCACCGGCCGCCTACTTCCAGTGCCCCCACAGCAAGCTGCGGAGGAAATGCCCCCAGTGCAGCAGCTGCGGCCATGGGAAGGTGAGGAGCTGCTCGTGCGCGACATTTTTTCCCCCTGCTCGGCAGGTTTTTGGGAAATCCAACCTCCCATTTTGGGTTGGTGGGAAACTACAGGGATCGAGAACTTGTGTTATTTGGAAAAGGAACAAGGAATCCACCGGGTTTCTTGGGAGCTCCCCATGGGAAATCCGAACTCCGATATCGATTGGGGGTGTGTTTTTTGTTTGTTAGTTTCGCCTGGTTTGGTGGGAAACTGCAGGGAGAACTTGTTTTGGAGAATTGGGTTTGTTTGTTTGTTTGTTTTGTTGGAGCAAAAAGACATCGAAACCTAGGCAGGTTCTGTTCTTTTTGGGGGACGAATGGATGTGGCTTCCATTTCACAGCCTTTTGGTGGCCGCCTTGAGTAATTCCTTGCGTTAGGAAGGTCCGTGTCAGGGTGGGGGGGGAGGTACCGGTTCAACTGTTTAGACATATCTAAACACCCCCCCCTCAACTCCTCCCTGGTCCGCCCCCCCCTGCAACTCCTCCCTGGTCCGCCCTCTGGTCTTCCTCTCTTGTTTGGTGGACCCTTACTTTTGCGAGTTAGATTTGTTTTGATAATTGGTAGCTCTTTCTGAGATTGAACTCACGTCGAGATCGTTCATGACAGGTGACCCTTAATGTTGCGAGGTGGATTTTGTTTAGCAGTTGGTAGCCTCTCTCTCTGCGCCTGAACTCACGTCGAAGTCGTGCATGACTCGAGTGCAAGAGAAAGCGGGGATTCTGATTTGGCAGCCTCCGCAAAAATGGTGCACCCTGCGCATATGCGTGCAGGCCCGTGGCAAGCGACAAAGTAACTGCCCCTTACTGTCGTCCCTTCCGTGTCCCCTACCTTTCGTGTCCCCGTCGCTGAAGTTGGTTGATAACAACAAGTAGACTTAAACCTAGGGGTGTCCTTGGGCGACCACTGGGGCTTGTTCTTTTTATTGGATATCCACAAAACGAGAAGTTTGCTTTGAGGCGGACTCAAGGAAAACCGTCAATTCTGAGGGAGCCCTGTTTGGAGACAAGCCCAAATCGACCAAAGCCCACACAAGGCCCCTATGATGGGGGGGGATTGATGACCTCCGGGAGTACGTTTTCTTTTCTACAGCTGCACTACAAAGTTGCGACTTTCGAGCCGAAGCTCCCGGAGTGCGTTCTCCCAAAACGAACAGGGGGCCCCTACTGCTAAAACCGGTTTTCCCCCCGGAAAGCCCACTTCGCATTTTAGGGAGGGGGGGGATTATGGAGCCCTTGGCCCCCCCGTTTTTCTGGAACCCTTGGTTTACCTCAAAAAACCTCTCAATCAATTGGTCCCAGTTGCCAGATCGAAAATTCGACTCCGCCCGAGGCTTCTGCCGGATCTGCCACCCCTGCGAGCACGGGAGGTTGAAGCACAACTGCCCACAGTGCCGTCCCTGCCCACATGGCCCCGCGGCAAATCGAATGGAAATGAACCAGGGCTCCGAACAAGAAAAATGAGAGAAATCTCCATTTCGCTTGCGTGCAACCATTTGAAACATGTTGCTTTTTCAACACCAAAATCAAGTTGGGCACCACCATTTACAAGTTGCAATGTTCAGGTGTATAATGCATCCGGATCCCTGTACATGGCCGCGGGGTCTTCACAGTTCAAAGTTAGGGCAAGCTTGGAAGGAGCTCCAAGGGGTTTCAGCCCTTCTGGCGCTCCACCTGCCCTTTTTTTTGGGGGGGGAGGGGGGTTAAGAGTAGTATGTATCACGGGAAGGTGGGGTGGTCGAAGCAAGCGCGAGTGTCCCATTTTGGGGCGTTCGGCGGCCTTTTGCACGCAACTCTCCAGTTGGGCATGGTTCCCTTGTTCAAAGCTCTCACAAGGAACCTCGAGCGAGGTTTGAAGCCGCCGGGGATCCTTACATCCTTTGCACGAGCTTACTTTGCCTGACATCATGTCACTTCCATTTGCTCAAGAGTATGCGTTGGCTTCCCCCTGTTGATTTTAAAGAGAATCTATCACTACTGGAAAATGTTGTACTGTTTCCTGGGGACTCAAAAGCAAATGGAGGGTGAAGGTTGGCAACATGTGCTAAGTTTCTCGAAATATCCCGTTAAGTTGGAGTTTAAAGGGACCGTTGTCTTTTTAGGGGACATCCGATATATTGCCAGACTCTGAGCACCTCACTTTTTCGTAGGCTTTTTTTGGGAGGTGGTTTCCATCGACCAGATAGGCGCATTTGAAGAGAAGGGGCACGTGTTTCTAGAGCTCAACTCGTTCCCTTCTGGCTTCAGCCAAGCGGCCGTCTCGTAGGCAGTCCCCTGTTTCCCTGGCAGCAGAAGAAGAAACATCTGCTTTTGGAAGGGTAAACCAACAATACGGGCGGGCCCTATTTGAATTACCTTCAAAACAAGCCCACACAAGATAGCCTCAAAAAAGACACCCATTTGCGCACAGTGTATATGTTGGGTTTGGTCTTTGGGTCCAGCAAGAAATTTCCTTGTGATTGGTGCGATCTCTGGTGAGTATATTTGGACACATGCAAGCCCCCATTTAGCTTTTCCAATTTCAATCAGCCCCCATTTAGCTTTTCCAATTTCAATCAACACCCCAAGAATTCCGTCCATTATCTGACTTCATCAGGGTCCCGTAAGGAAGACAATTCGGCCAAACCACCTTCACCAGCTGCTTCATAGGATTTCTAAATCTACCTTGGGTTTTGTGGCGCATCCTCGAAGGGGCCCTGTTCTTGGGTTGGAGAAAGCCATCGCTGAGTGGGATTTGAACTGGCACGGTTGCCATCGGAATGCAAGGCCCAGTCGCTTATCGTCGCCCATTCAGTGGATGTGTCTGATATTTTAGCGACCGCCAAACTGGTGGCCGTTCGTTTTCGGCTTCTTGTTTCTAAACACAAAAACGGGGGGGGTTTTCTTCTCCAAATGGGCCCACTCCCCGTTGGTGTCCCAATAAGCATGGACACCAATGAACATGGCGTTTGTTGGCGGCGCTTGCTTGAGGCAAATGGGGATTCCCACCGACCCCCAGACAACGGAAATAGATGCTAGAGTTAAAGTATGCTTGAACAATAAATAAGATGAAGAAGCCAAAAGTTAAGCCGGTTGATCCTCTAAAACAGTTAAAACAATACGTGTATATATAATATGTATTTATTTATTTTCGCCAAAAGCTGGGTTTTTGGAGGTTCATGACCGGAAGGCAAGCTGCTGCGTCACTGTGTTCAGTGCAATCCCTGCGAGCATGGCAAGCTGAAGCGGAACTGCGCCCTGGTGGCAAATCCAACTCCGTGGATCTCCGTGGGTTCGTTTGGGTTGTTCTGTTGTGATTTTAAATTTGTCATGTTGTTCTGCTGCCGTGCAGTCGCATTGCTTGTTTGCTGGTGGGGTTCGCTTGTTTGTGTTGCGTGGCATCCCCGTGTTTGTGTTGCTTGGTTGGTGTGCGTTTCCTTTGTTCCTGGTTGCCGTTTTAATGCCATCGAACAAGCGCCTTCATTTTTTCGGACAAGCATGATTCTCCTTTCGCTTGAGGAGATTCCATGTTCAATTCAAAATTGGTTTTGGCAATTTTGGTTGGATCCTTTCATGCATAGAGTTCTTTTTGTCCAGAGGGTGGTTTCGGGAACCTACCTTAAGAATTCCAGGATAGGCCGCAGGGCGCACTGGCCAGGACTGCCGAATTTGTTTTGGACCATGGGGGAAGGCTGCGGGTTATGGGAAAGACTCCGGCAAGTGGCGTTCGTCTCCCCGGAGCCCGAAAAACCGATGAACAGGTCATAATGTGTCGGCAAGCCACAACGTCAACGTCAATAGACCGTTCAGGTTGCCGGCGGAAAAGCCTCGCCGCTCAGTTCGCCAACTTTCTAGAGTTTGAATGTAGCCGACGATCGCTTAAAGAAGTCCGTGCTCGGCGAAGGCAGGTTTGCCCCCTGCTTCGGTTCAAACCAGTGGATCCATCATTGCCACGAAGAGGAAAGACAACCTCATCGTGGGCAGATTGCACACCCTGGTAAATCCATAGAAGTTCCAAGGTTTGCCGCAGGTTACTACCGGCTTTCCACGATTTGGCCACGGGTTTCTGAAGAAGTTTTCAGCGGAGCTACGGCCAATACAGGCTTCCACAGGTTTGCCTCCGTTGTGCCTCAACAAAGTTGCCACATCCTTCAAACGCCGTCAATGCCTGACTGCTTTGCCAGATTAAAACCCTACACTGTGTGAGAACACATCGAGAGCCCCCCCGGCCCCCCCCCCCTCCCGCATCCTATGGCAGCAAATAATTTGAGTTTCAGAGCGGGCGTGGAATGAAATGCCCCTGTCGTGTTGTGATGGTGTCCGTGCTGTCGACCGATTTTGGTGGTCTGTGGTCTGACGATGTTATGGCAAATGTGTCGCGGCGCTGTGTCTGGTGGCATTTTCGTGGTGTCCCATGGTTGCGCTGATGCGGACAAGCTTAACCTCCTTTTGCTTAAGAATATTTATGTTTACTTTCCCTTGTATTTTTTCCTGGGGCCTTCACTAAATGGAAGTTATAGGCCCCCGGGGGGGGGGTGGTGGGGGGGGTGAGGCAAGACCTGGTGATTCCCTCACCTGCTGTTCAACCAGAATTACAGGAGTGGCGCAGTTGCTAGTGCTATATTAGGGTTTGTCGCTGGGTTAATTCATGCCGAAGGGCCTGCAAGTTTACCCCGGGGGTGCATTCAGAACCACTGCACATGCATGCAGCAAACACGCTGTGCATCTCTTGGCGTGAAAGAGTGACTTGGGATCCTTGATTTGTTGCGGTTGCTTTGGGAGGGTCTATTTAGTTATCTGCGCAAGCAGGTGAACCAACCCGTGATGCCTGCGACGTCGAACCCGGCAAGCCACGTGTCGATTCACACAGCTTGGCCATGTTGGAATACCTCATGTGCCAACTGCCTTCAATTTGGCTGTGGGTCAAAACCAATGGTACCATTTTGGGGCAGGTGCACCAGCCATTGTAGTCTATTTTAGTGGGGATTGGGATGTTCACTGGGGGTACACCCATTGCCATTTATTGCTTCCAATTCGAGTGGGCAAGGCGCTCTTCAGGGAGGTTTTCGTCATGACGCATGTTGGGTTCCCGCCGGTCACTGTGCCTGTACTTGAGAGGGTTGAGCCTGTGCTTTATGGGGCTGAGATGCCTCCCCCTAGTTCCTCAGAGCTACAAGCAACTGGACGCTCTGGAGTGACTGGGCGCGGGCTAGCCCAATTCCGGGAACCTAGCGGCGAACCCAGCCAACCAGCCAAAAGGAAACCCCAAGCTGCTAAATTCATTGCAACTCACAAATATGGGTTGTTGTTGGGAGACATTTTACATTTTTGCTTCTTGTGGTTGAGTGGGACATCCCCAAAGACTTTGCTAATATTGAAGTGTTCGCTCCCCCAACGTCAAGCAAGAGACAACCCACCAAAACCAAACCCCACGCTGCCAAATTCATTGCGACCAAGCGGATTTACTTCAGTGAGGCGTGCTTTGTGCGGGCTGCCCTCACGGCCTTGAGCGGCGGGCCTGCGCAGTGCCTCGGCATCCGCGGGAAAAAGAGACGGAAAGCTCGGGAAGGTTTGGGTGTGGCTCAAAATTCAACAGGAGGGGCAAACCGCCAGGTTTTGGTCCATATTTCCACTAACCAGGGTTTGATTTTGGTACCGGTGTTTTGAGCCACAGCCATTTGTGGGGTGTCAAAGGGACCCACGAAATCTCAATATCCCCCCAAGTCCCAAGTTCCTGGACTTGCGTCATTTTTTGGGGAAGACCATTTGGGTGGTACACGGAATTGGTGGGACTGTTTCGGGCCACTCAGGAAGTTGGAAGTTCAGGTAGCTTTTAGTTGGTTTGGATTTGGATTTGAACCGGTCAATGGGGAACCGGGAGCCCCTCCTGCCACCAAACCAAACCAGGAGGCAACCAGGGTCAATGGGCCCGTGTCCTTGTTTCCCTGGAAAACGTTCTTGTCCGGGACCCCCGTCGGTGGGCTTTTTCGCGGTCGCAGGTCTTGGTCGGCGAGTTGCACGGGCCTGGTTCCCGAAATGAGCTGTGTCCTAGCCGCCGAGTTGGGCTTTTCTTCGAGGGAGGGATTTGGCGCATGTTTGGCGCATTTTGCCAAGGGATGTTTGGACTTGAACTGTTTGCCAACTAATTCCGTATTAAACCACTAAAAGTGTTCAACTGTTAGCAGGGGAGCAGAAAGCAACTGAGTATTAAAGAAGCACACCGAAGAAAGATGGTTTTTTTGAAGTCCTGTGGCAACTGGCCTTCCGAGTTGGCGACAATTTTCAAGGTGCCCATGAAGGACGTGACAGCAGAGAGGGTCACAGAGGCACTCACCATTTGAAGCCAGCCATATTTATATAACAATGCCACTGGCAATCGTTCATGCCACGGATGGCAAGTTGAATCGGCACGCTTTCCATGGGGTCCCTCCAGCCCGCCCAATGGCAGTTCTTCTAGGGCGAGCTTCCCCATTCTTTCCGGGGATCCTTCTTTGCAGGAAACCCTCAAACACCCGAGGATCGAAACAACCGGTTTGTGAAAAGGGCGATTCTTGAAAATAACGGGGAATCAAGAGTTATAATGCCACAGATGGCAAGTTGAATCGTCAAGTCTTTCCATGAGGTCCCTCATTTTTCAGGGGGAGTCGAGGGTTCCACTTCAAGACAACTTAAAGGAATTGACGGAAGGGCACCGGGAGTGGAGCCTGTGGCTCAATTTTTCCGCAACACAGGGAGACTTACCATTTCCAGACATAGTAAGGATTGACAGCAAAAAAATGAATGATTGGAATACTATAATATAAGTCACAAATAGATTGGTGTTCAAAAGATAGCTTATTTGTATATATAGATTATAATTTAATATCACACGCCATACCCACCACCAACGTCGCACCGACGTGGCGACAGCCGCGCGGACCAAAAACGCACCGAGGAATGCAGCGGCTGCCCCCATGGGGCGGTGAAGAGGACGTGCCTCCAATGCAGCGGTTGCGAGCACGGCACCTTGGCGCATGGCAACGTTTTGAAGGTCGGGAGGATCAAAGGGTCTTGGAAAAACGGCCTTTGTGCTGCAAACCTACCAAAAAAAAACGTGCAAAAACCTAACGTTTTTGCTAACATGTTTGATCAAAAGGCTCGGAAAGCATGGCAAGGTCCCCCAGCTAGGTGCCCTTTCTCACCCCCCTTTTTTGGTTGGGAGGGTTCCCCTAAAATAGACGACAGAAAAAGTTGGTACCCTTGTTCTAAGGTCTCCACTGGAGGACCTAGATGGGCTGAGACCCAAATCGGGAAGCCGAGGAAAAAAGGGGCTTCGACATTCACCACGGAAAAGGTTAGCCATGGTCAAAGTTTGGGGCCCGAAATGGAATATTGATCAACCCTATTCAACCCTCATATCTTCGATTTCATGAAAGAGCAGTTGTGGTTTTGCTTGGTTTTGAACGGGTTAGCTATCACATTGCGCATGTTTGTCCTGGGCTTAAGCAAACGCTTCCCCAAGTTTGTTGCTTGCAGCGTAGGGTAAAGGGAGCAATTTTCGAAGCTCCAAACCAGCCAGCACATAAGACTCTTGTGGCTGCGATTTTTGTGGAGCCTTCAAGAAAGGCGCCTGAAATGAAACCACGGCTTCTTTCGCGCCATGTCGGAAACCTTTGGCATTGGAGCTTCTCACCTGCCGGTTTTCGTCCGCTCTCAAAGTCGTATATTCATTGAGGCTGGTTCCCCGGGGGCTGACTCTCCGCGACAATCATGCTAACAAGCCTTCTCTAAGAAATCGGCCGAGGCGTCCCTAGACTCCCCAGGACCCCCAAAAAATGGCGTCATTTGCCCGGGTCATGACCTTGGGGGCCATGGAGACTCCAGGCGTCTCCATGGAGACTCCAGGCGGAGTCGAAGTCATGTCCGCAGGAATCGTGAAGCTCAACTGCCCGCTCTGCAGCACGGAGGTGTGTCCGCACGGCAAAGCGGCGCGGCGCTTCTGTCGCCTCTGCAGACCCTGCTCCCACGGCAAGGCACCGGGGCTTTCGCCAGGTTTTCTCAACTAGGTCCTCCAGCTAGGTGCCCTTTCTCACCAACTTTCTTGGGTTGGGAGGGTTCCCCTAAAATAGACTACAGAAAAAAAGTTGGTACCCTTATTCTAACCTCTCTACTGGAGGACCTAGTCAAGGCGTTTCGCTGGCGTTTCATTGGCCGAGCCATCGAGAAATGTGTTTACCCGGTGGATTTGCCCAAAGAAACCGATTCCTGGGAAGTCTAAGTCGTGAAACTTTGCAATGCTCACCCATTGCTCAGCACCCCCAAAGCTTCAGGCCTTTGTTGCAGACATCAAAAATATGCTCTTTGTCCACTTTCTGGACTTGGAACAACCAATCGGCTGCTAAAGAAGCGCTTCAGAATTGTTGGGGGCGATCCAACTTGAGTGATCGAACTGAAGCGTCGACACCCACAGAGTCTGGTTCGACACGACAGCAAGTCCATGGATTTGTCTGAAAAACTTTCAGGCGGAAGGAACCCTTTGGTATCCTTTCAAAACGACTACACGACTACAAAACAAGTTATAGCCCCGAAAGAGGGCAACTCAACCAGCGAGTTATGTCCGCCAAAGGCTTGGGCGGGAATCAAATGTTGTCAATTCCCTCCTTTTCCCGCACGAATTGGGTAGTTGCCTTCAAGGGAACCAAGCAACCAAGGAGTCAAACAACCAAGCAGCCAACCAGAAGCCAACCAAGCAGCCACGTCTAGCAAGCAACCAAGCAACAGGGGAAGCAAGGCATGCAAGCAGCCAAGCAGCCAAGTCAAGCAAGGGAAGCAAGGCATGCAAGCAGCCAAGCAGCCAAGTCAAGCAAGCAACCAAGCAACCAAAAGGGAGGCAAGGCATGCAAGCAGCCAAGCAACCGAGCGAGCAAGCAGCCAAGCAGCCAAGTCAAGCAAGCAACCAAGCAACCAAGGGAAGCAAGGCATTTAAGCGGGCAAGCAACCAGGAAGCAAGGCATGCAAGCGGGCAAGCAACCAAGCAAGCAACCGAGCAAGCAAGCAGCCAAGCAGCCAAGGTCAAGCAAACAACGAAGCAACCAAGGGAAGCAAGGCAAGCAAGCAACCAAGCAACCGAGCGAGCAAGCATCCAAGCAGCCAAGTCAAGTAAGCAACCAAGCAACGAACGGAAGGCAACCAAGCAACCAAGGGAAGCAAGGCTTGCAAGCAGCCAAGCCACCAAGGCAAGCAAGCAACCAAGCAACCAAGCAAGTGAGCAAGTGAGCAAGCAACCAAGCAGCCATGGGAAGCAAGGCAACCAAGCAGCCAAGCAACCAAGGCAAGCAAGCAAGCAAGCAACCAAGCAACCAAGCAAGCGACCAGGCAACCAAGCAACCAAGCAACCAAGGGAAGAAAGGCACGCAAGCGGCCAAGCAAAGCAACCAAGCGACCAAGCAATCAAGCAACTGAGCAAGTAACCAAGCAGCCATGGGAAGTAAGGCAACCAAGCAGCCAAGCAACCAAGGCAAGCAAGCAACCAAGCAACCAAGCAACCAAGCAACCAAGCAAGCGACCAAGCGACCAAGCAACCAAGACAGGCACGCAAGCAGCCAAGCAACCAAGCCAAGCAAACGCAAGCGACCAAGGGAAGCAAGGCTTGCAAGCAGCTAAGCATCGGAAACCAAGCAAACCAAGCAAGTACTCTTCCCTGAGGTGAAGTTCAGTTGCCGCAAGTGCAAGCCCAGACCCTGCCCCCACGGCAAGAAGAGGAACTGCTTCTCGGCAGGCGAATCTGAGGCTTGAACCAAAATGAGAGAGGTGGTTGGTTTTTCTTTAAGGTTCAACTGGTGCTTTTACATTGGTCTAACCGAAGCCTCCCGATGGATCCCAGGCGTTTCACCTTTCTGGTAGGTAACCCTTCGCTATGTGTTTTCTTGTTTTGTGAGCTGGGGCGACAGGTAAATGGATCCACCGGGCCTGTCGGGTTATTTGCTTGGTCAGAGGATAGCAGGGAGACCCCGCATCCAGGTAGACCCCGTCACAGTAAAAGCAATTGGACACCCCCTATTCATCATGCGTCATCCGGGGTTCCCATAAACTGGTTGGGTGTAAGGCACGAATTGCAAACAAGCACGGCAGGACCATTTACCCACTCACCAACGAGCAAACGTGGAGGTTTGCGATGAGCGGCGGCCTTTTCACTTGTTGCTCATGTGGTCTGGGTTGCTGCCAAAAGGCCAACCCGGTGTTTCAGTGACGTGCTCGGATGTGCGTGTTCTTCTCCACAGGAAACACTTTTTGGATGCCTAATCAGAATTCACGAGTTGTCTGCCGGTGTCGCATTCTATCGGAATGACGGAGCTTCGGCATCCAAGACCAACCAGCCCCTCTGTGTCTTTCTCCTCAAAACCTCCTTGGTACTGTCCCCAAAAAACAGGGCCGGTTTCAATGGCACCCCCCGGAAAAAAAAAAATGGGTTCTTCGCTTTTGTGTAGCACCTCATGCGTCCTTTTGGTGTGATATGGTTTGCAGGGCGATCTCTTTAGTTGGAGCCCGTGAAAGCCCGTGAGACGCCATTCCAGAAAAGAACAACTGCTGCTTTTAGGGCGGAAATCCATTTTGTTTGGCCCCTAAAATTAAATTGTGTAAAAGGACAACTCAGAAGCGAAACCAGGTGGAGAAGGTGCTTTTGGGGTGCGGTTGACATGTTTAGATGTTCCATCTGCCCATTTTGGAAGGGCGATTGGGCATAAGGAAGGTCGAAAGGGACAACCCTGCAGCTGAGTCTCAAGGAACACTGGGTACAGGGGTCATTCTGGAGATACAGTCTCAATGTTAAAGTCAGAAACTGGGTTCTTTGGTTTCAAACTCTTCCATCATAAGATCCCAACTTTTTTTTTCCCACTGTAGCGATGCTGCCTGTTTCCCCATATTGCCATGAATCTTAATCGGGAACCACCTCACAAGTGGATGGTGGTTATCTGAACGTCACCAAAAACTGATGTCCACCAAACGGACATCAATATTTACAAAATCAAAAGCAAAAACAAATCTCACCCAGGCGCTGATTTTCTGATTGCAAATCCTCTTCTGTCAATTTGTGGGTGAGGTCCATCTCAATCCAATTTGGAACCCTCCCAAGCATCGGGGTCACTGTTCAATCTTGGAACGGGTGCTAGAAACCTTCAGAGAAAAATCCAGGAACAATTCTTCGAGCAGGCTTCTCTTCTTCTCTCGCGCCTTTGCGGCGTTTGATCGATCGAGGCAGACAAAAAATATAGGAAAACACCGAGCTACAGGCGTCTCTTCCCGATCTCGGCTTTGGGCGTTTGGGTCACTGTTCAAACTTGGAACGGGTGCTCGAAACGGAAAACCGCTAAAGGCTTCTCTTCCCTGGGATCTCGCCTTTCTAGCTACAGGGGGTTCTCGTCTCATCTCGAGAGAAGTCGCGCGCCTTGGGCGTATCACGAGTTTGATCCGTCGAGGCTGCGTGGAGTGCGTGGGTTGTCCCCACAAGAAGCTGCTGCAGAACTGCGCGCTCTGCCAGCCCTGTCCCCACGGAGGCCTCAAGCAGAACTGCCTCCACTGCGCCGCGCTCGGATCGGCGACGTCGCGTTGGTGAGCGGATCGCTCCACACCGATTCGGGTGGAAGGTAGGGACAATCCAAACCAGCTGCGGATCTCCGGCTTCTTAATTCCTGAAGCATGGTTCTGGGCAGACCATTTTACCGGGGGGTTGATTGTGAGGCAGGTGGCTCTTTCCCCATTGAAAGGCTTTTTTTCCATGGAAAGTGCAGGGGGATGGTAAGCAAAACACTCACAGCTGGCCTTTGGATCGGTTTGGATTCTATTTAAGCCACAGGCTTATCTTAGATTGGTTTGACCCATCCAGTTGGACCATCGATTTTTTCACCATTTTCGGTCCAAGTCCGGGCCAAGCGTTCAGCCCGCGAGAAACGTCCCGTAACTTTCTTTGGCCAGTATACAAGGGCTGGCCGCGTTTCTTCCATTTGGGCAAGAAAACTTTGTGTTTTCCCCTGTTGGCATTAAAGGGAATCTATCACTACTGAACATATTTTTATGTTTGCCAGGTTTTTGTTAATCCCGGCCCAATTGGGGGTCTAATGTTCTCCTCCCTTGGCTGAAATGAAGATGGTCCTTTTGAAACACCCCTGGTTTCAACACCTACCACCACTGGACTTGTTTTTGTTCCGTCTTGTATCGGGGGACAAACGCGTAAATTGGTGATGGGTGTCGCAATGTTGTGGAAAGCTCCACTTTGCGGACTGGCGGTCTGAATTTTCATGGTGGACCCACTTCCCACATGGTTGGTGGACACGGCCCACCGAGTTCTGATGGTCCATTTTGAGTCCCCAAAATAAGATCGTGCCCAAATTCGGAATCGTGTTTTTCACGGCTTGGCTTCAATCCGGAAAGGGAACCCTTTAAACATAGCTTTCCGGAATGACTTTTAGCTCCCTGGGATCAAATGAGTCCAACTGGGTCAGTTTCAGTGCCCCGTTCTGTTTGTGTTGGATTGGCTTGTTCAAGTTGTTGATTAGTTCCGCGATCCCCACTTTCTCAATAGAATTCGGGGGATTTCGAGTTCGGAACATCTCCACTTACGGTTCTGGTTTCTCGGTTTCCCAACGAAACGTTCTGACTCGAAACATAGGAAACTTGGGTCCCGGACCCCTCCCCTCCCCCCCCCGGACCCCGGACCCCTCCCCAGGTTTCCGAGTCGAGATGTTGTTTCGGCTCACGTTTTGGGGCCTCGGCGAGTCGGGCAGGTTTTCTTCGGTAGGGCACGGAGGGTTGGCTCGAAAACCACACACGCCCTTTTGGGGTCAAAAAGGCACGCCCAATCCTAACTGACGCGGTCAATCTTGTGAAGGATGAGACGGAGAAGCGAATCCGAAGAATCAGCGGTTCTTTTTTTCCCCAAGTACCCTGCTTGTTGCCTTGCCTCAAACAACCCTTGTTTGCTGGTTTGGCCCCTGGTTCTTGAGGGTACATTGAAAGCCCCCTCGCTCCAAAAACCAGCAATCCCAAGCAAAAACCGGAGGAAGCTCGTTACTTCTACCCAAGTTGAATTCCTGGGCCGGCCCCAAGATCGGAACCCTTTGACTGTCGTTTGGAGAGCAATCCAATCAGCTTGGTTTGGTGCGGTGCTGAGGGGCGCGGGGTTCCCATTCTCCCATGCAAGAAGTTCTGAGAACGCCTGGTGATCTGCCGATGTTCCTCCAAATCTTGAGATCAGAATGGCCGGCCCTTGCCATACGTCAAGGGCTTGCGACCCCAGCCTTCAGCCCAACACCCCACTCCCCGGCCATCCCCGCGACTCGACCGGCCGAGGCAAAGCCTGCGAGCACGGGAAGGTCAAGACCTCCTGCGCCATCTGCCGCGGCTGCCCCCATGGGAAGCTGAAAAGGAACTGCAAGCAGCACTTCGGAATGAAAAGCCCAAAGAAAAGCCGGGTGGCAAGGGGGCCCAGGTGTGGCTTGGGTTTGGTTTCTTTGGTTTCTTTGTCTGTGGCTTTGACTTCGCTTGTGCTCCTGGGCTGAAAATGGGACATGACGGGGAAAACTCCGGCAAGCCTACTAGAGGTGATCGACCTTAGAACCTGAGGGGGGGGGGGGGGAAAGAAGCGCAACCCAGAAAAGTGGTTGTGGCTCAAAAACCCAGCCGGGACCAACATCAAACCCCGGCAAGTGGACACATGGACCAAAACCTGCGGTTTGCCCCTCCGATCGTTTGATTTTGAGCCACACCCAAGTGTCTTTGTGTTTGTGGTTGATTGTTGTTTCTGTGTGTTTGTGCTTGTGGCGCACCGTTGTTTTTTTGGTTTGTACCTTGAGCGGAATTGTTGGTCTTCGGCTTGGCCGAGTTGGAGGAGAGGGGGTCTGGGGAGGGCCGCAAATTCCAGGCAAATCGAACTATCCCGGATGTTCCCAATTGACACGGGCCAAATTATCCCCCATCCTCTTTGCCGCACCCTGTTTGGATGGGTGTCAAAATAGGGTACCCCACCGTCTTCGGTGGGTTGCCTTTTGGTTTCACCTCAAACGAGCCCCGAAACAAACCTCATTCTTTGGCGCCCAAATTTTGGCTCGCTTGCACACTGCCGGTTTTTGTTGTTGACTTTTTGGTGGTTTCTTTTTGGGCGACCGTTTTTGGTTATGGCTAAAGGTGATTTTATATTTCCAGGTCCTAGGGCAGGGACAGGACCAGATGCCGCTGGGTGTCTTTCGTCTTGGGACGTCCCCAAGATGGATTGTCGGTTGTGAGGTTGGTGTCCCACCACAAGGTGCCTCCAAACACAGGAAGAAACATAAAGATTCCTGAACATAGGTGTCCTTTTTGGTTGTTTTGCTAGAAAAAAATATGGCCCTGGTTTACCTGGTGGTTTAATCATCTACCAGGGCAATCTATTTCCCCTAAAAGGCCACACATGTTCCTGAACCTAGCGATTTTTGACCCATCTCCCAACCAATGTGCACACATGCATCTCTCCCCAAGCTTGCCCCCAGCGTTCTCGGCGTCCCAAGGTGTGGTGCGAAGCCGACGCTCTGCGAGCACGGCAAGCAGAGGGCCAACTGCCTCAAGTGCAAAGGCTGCCCTCACGAGATGCTCCGGCGGAACTGCCCCAAGTGCACCGGCTGTAACCACGGCAAGCGGAAGACGCGCGGCAAAGAGAGATTCGGCCGGGTCAAACCGTCAAACCGAACGAGCCAGGGGGCGTACTCCCAAAAGACTGACCACTCTCTGAGGTTTTTGGGCATCATCCTTTTGGGGCTTGGGCCGTTTTTGTGGCAAACAACAGCTTGGTTTCTGTTTGCCCAAACCGCTCGATCGGAAGAGAGTAACAG